GGGTACGGGTACGGCCCGTACAACGGCACGGGTGCCGAACTCTATTTCTTAGTGACCTTGTTTATCAAATAGATCATTTCCAAAACCCAGACTTTTTTGTTCTTTATCCATAATAGGGCACGATATTATCCTCTGGTTAGGTGGGGAACTGGTGTGCGTGGGAACGATGGGGAGACGAGGGAGGGGTATGGAAATAACAAAACTATGTGGAAAATTTCCCAAAGGCTTTTACAAAAGCTCGATTGTTCAGGCGCTCTCGGCGGCTGATGTGGACGTCACAGTCGGATGCTTGGCAGTTAATCGCTTCATGCCAGAAGCGGCAAACCTCGCCGCTGGCCGTGAGGCCCTCGTGTCCTTCAATCGTCTTGAGAAGCTCACCATCGACGACGCCCCGCTCGGTTTGCTAAGCGACGACTTCCTCATGGCGGCGACGCAGAAGCGCATCATGAGCCTCACACTGAAGTCGCCACGTTTCCGCGTTGGAAGCCGCGCAGTTGAGGCTGCAGTCGGTCCCGGGTCGGGCTACCCGGAACTCTCCGACGGACTCCACGCGTTTTTGTTCCGCAACGACCTCGACGAGAGTGCCAAGGTGGAACTGCGCTTTCCAGCCGCCCGCGTCCCTCAGGGGTTCTGCCAGACGCTTGTGGAGGTAAGCCACACAGTCTTAGAACGGTTGACTTGTTCCACAAATCGGTCAAAAGAGATAGAATAATTAGCAGATGCAGATAGCAAGTCAAAACTGATGGAAGGACGATTATTGTCTAATTCCCACCTTGAGCCTGTTCACGTTTAGAGCGCTCTCTCTTATGGACCTCGCTACTCGATCGACGCCTCATTCGTTACAGTTGGTGACGTCACCGACGAGCTCGTCGGCTTCGAGGAATATCGACGTCTGGACGACCCCCATGGTGACAGCGTGACCTATCAATGCATAAAGAAAAGGTTAGTCCCAAGCTGGACTTGAACCAGCGACCCTTCAAATACCGGTTGAATGCTCTACCACTAAGTTCCGGATCCCAACGCGACCGACACCATCGTCGAGTTCAAGATCGCCACCTTGGTGGGCAACAACTGGGGCGGACCAGTAACCGAGTGGAAGCTCGTCGAGTTCCGTCGCTACCGTAAGAACGATGTAATGCGCTCAATGAACGACTAGTGTCTCTCGCATGCTTCTCGCGCTCAAGGCCGAGTCTCGAAGTTCAAAAATGCTCACGTTCTCAACTATCCCTACCGACGTAGTCGGGGTTTACTAGCACTTGTTGTAATCTGGCTATGTCCGTTGTCCTATACCTATATGCATCCTCCTGCCGAAGTCATTGTTCGTTAATTTTTTCCATTTTCCGTGAAATAAACGAAACTTCTTCAGCAACGATGAGATACTGATAAGGATAATGAGCTCCACCAAGCAAAGTCGGTTTTCGCGGACGCCGAAAATTGCCTTAGTCTCCCCATTGGTACTTCTTCTGCTATGCCCGATCTTTGCCGTTTTCATGAAGTCAAAGTGTTAAAATGTCCTTATCCTTAAATCCCCCTCTAGCTATCCTTGTGTTCGGACAGAGGTTTTTGCAGAGGTAGGCGGACATCCTCCCGTGCTATGAGCCGCTCCATGCTGCAAAAATTACTGCGGAGCCGTGTCTTCAGAATGCGAAACGTTGCCCTAAAACGGCAAAACGACGGAACCGAACGGCACGGAAAACGGCTGAAATCGGTGCCGTGCCGTGAAGCCATGCCGTAACACAGGCACGGCCGTCAACACTGTCACGGCCGTCAACACGGGCACTGGTGACTAGCTCTACTTTTATCGCCCATCGCGCAGATTCACGATGATTTCGGTGTGTCACAGTTTCCTTCAATATTTTACTTCAAATTCAAGTGGTACTTCTGATCTATGGCTTCCTCCAAATTAGCATCACCTCTGCACTCCCTGTGTATTAATGGTGCTTGATTGCTGTCAGGCAATAGTGACTTTCGTAACTTGTTACTGATGCTGCTACGTGACTCATACTGCACAGTCCTTCCAGCCAGCGCCAGCTCGGTTCCCTCTAGCGCGATTCATTGCCGACA